CTGGATTTGTTCACGCGACATTGGCAGTGCCAGGCCAAGAGCAGTTGTGATGTCAAATTCACTAAAAGGGGCAATCAATAAACAATAAATTCTTTGCAGCCCTACTTTTGAATAATATTGCGTTTGTGGAATATGAGTTCAACAATAAAATAACCTGTTTTTATCCATCTCAGTGGGCGGCCATTTTGCCACTTGCTGTCGACCAGAAATGACATCGCAGTTGCACAGGGCTCAGGTAACAGCCAATCATGGCTCAGCTTCAGAAAACAGGTGAGCTGTGATTGGTCCTGAGTAACTGTGACTTCATTTTCAATTGACAGAAAATGGCTGGATTTTGGTACTGAACTCATATTGCGCACACGCAACATTAATCAGATTGTTGTCTTTAGTTGATTGGAGGCGCAAAGAACACATTACTGTAAAAAATATATATTTGGGTCGACTTCCCCTTTAAAATGCTTAATTCTTATTCCACAAAAGCATTATTCAGAATACCTGATTTTGACTGGCATGGACACATTTAACGTATTCTTTCAAGAACATTTTTTGCATTTAGCTCCCCTGTAAGGCCTCCGTAAGCCTAACCAAGTTTTGGGAGATCCTAGCCCGCTATGCTTAGCATCCACTTACAATCCACTACAGCCTTAGGTTACAATTAATTTAATCAGGAAGAGATTGACTAATGAGAGCAATGCATGGAGGAAAGGCCGCTCACTGTTGAAGCTACCCCCCTTGGACTCAAATCCACAGGGAATTCCAATGTAGCTCATTTGATATGCTGATCTGTTTATGTGGTTGGATGCAAGGCTGCACGATGCTTTCCCAGTCATGGACACGCCACCAGAATCACGCAGACCTGTTTGTTCAGCACAGTAAGTCAGCTTTCAAACGAGCTCTTGCCCAGCCAAAGTCTGAGAATTTGTGTGTTTTCAGCGTTTCTGATTTCCTCAGTGCTCAACACAGCTGATCAAGTCTTTGCTGCTGTGGGAAAATAAGTGTGTGTGTGTGTGTGTGTGTGTGTGTGTGTGTGTGTGTGTGTGTGTGTGTGTGTGCCATCCATAGCTGACAGGCAGATCAGCTCTCTCTTATCACATCGGCCCTAATCTCCCCCGCCTCCCCTCCTCGTCTCTAGCTTCACATCTGGGTCTTTCTCCCGCTCACGTGTACAGGCAGACGAGCTGCACGCTCGCAACAGGCTTCCCTTCACAGCTCAACACACACACACACACACACACACACACACATGCACCCTCCACTCCACTGCACTGCACGGCTTAGGATGAAGAGGGACAGAGAAGACTTCCAAAGCATCACGAACTTCTGTTCTCCCTTCGCCATTGTTTTCATTGTTCTGCTGCACAGTACATGCATATGACAACGATTTGCAGTTACTGAAACCAAGTCCCTTAGTTGCTGGTCGTGATGAGAGGTCCAAAATCTTCAAACTTGAAAGATGATGTAAATGTAGAGTAGACTGAAGCAATTCTCTGCAGATGGTGCTATAGAATCCTACGCATGCGAGACCTCAGTAAACATCTTACTGAGTGGAAGGTGGTATGCAACAGTAATTGTATGTATAGGCCACAACCTTGATTTTCATAAGACATCACCGAACGATGAAGCTAAACAAGCAAAACTAATGTCGCTACTAGAGAAAGGAAAATGCATCTTCCCTGGCACAGTAGAGTGGTTGAATCCAAGACTCAATGAGAAATTGTATATAGAGAAGAGAAAAGAGATGCCAAAAACTAGAGAAAAGCAATTTCACATTGCACCAAAAATATAGAAAAAGACCGATAAAGAAATGCATCATCGCAACCAAGCTCGACTAAGAAACTGCTTTCAAAGGATCTTTCATCAATCCAAATGCTGCATCAGTCGTGTTAACAGTCAGTCAAAAGCAATTTCAATTCGAAAATGCATCAAACTCATTTCTGTCGCGGGCCACTGTGGAGTTACGTCTTCCCTTGGTGGGCCGTGATGACAGTGAAACTAAAAAAATGTTTAATCGTCTCAGTGCATTATTACTTGTACAAAACAAATTAGTGGATTACTAGTTTTGAAATCAAGTAACTCAACTATAATAGTTCAATTATTGTTCGAGTGGGTATGAACAGAGTGGCAAAATAATTGCAAAATCTCAACATTATTTATTGCACACAACAATTTGACATTTCGGTACACATTTCACCAAGGATTATGCAAGTTGACACCCAAGATTTGCTTTCGCCAGCCACATAGAATGATGCGGCGGGCCGGATCTGGCCCTCAGGCCTTGAGGTTGACACCAGTTGTCTATGCCTACTAAGATTAGTCACATAATGCCGCCGTCGACATGACTTTGACAGCTGCTTGTCCCGCCTCCCCGACAGACCTGCGCCGATGGACTGAATCTCGCTTCCGTATGTAATCATTGGTTGGTTCCATTGGTGGTGTAGTGTTTCACTAAACTAGTTTGGTATTAAATGCTACTGAGTGCCCCGTTTCCAACTAACCGGAGATTGACTGGTAATCAGTTATATGGACGAATGGATGTTTGATAATCATTGATGAAATTGCACTGGTTGCTGGTTTGTTTATTTATTTGGTGTGTCTCGGGGTACTGGGCAAGGGTTTCTCATCGCAAAAATAATGCTTTAGGTAGCGATGCCCCTTCTGGTATTCCAGTCCCATTAAATTATTTGAAAAAGAATGTAGCTGATTAGCGCTTTTGGTAACACATTCTAGCATTTCTGATGTTTGAAATGTCTTGGAACATGTGTAACTTGTCATGCTAGTGCCAGCTGGGTGAAAACATGCCAGTGAGACCGGCTGCATGACTTCAGAGCTTTGGCACCTCAATAAAATGCCCCTGTGAATGTTATGAGTAACACCTGGGTTGGAAAGAGCCTCGTAGCATTCAAGAATTTTTCACGTTTCAGCATCCTTTTGTGTCAAGTTGTAAAACCCAGCCATGCGCTTGTGTCCCAGCTTGTGTCTGTCTCCTCTCATAAAAAAACGCTCTCCTCTTGTGTGTCAGTATTTGCCTGCGCTTGTGTAGTTTGTACTGCAGCATGCAAGGACCATTGATGGATGGCTGCTTTCAAACCAAAGTTTCATTTGGGCCTCAGGAAATTTTCCACTGTTGGTTTTCCACTCCAGGTGATTCATTAGTAGGGGTGGTTACTATGTGTGCTGAGTTGGTGTGCGCATACAGTTTGTGTTTACATTTGAGCACATCAGGGTTTTGCTTGACTGCATGTGTAAGGCGACTGTAGTACAAAACATCGACAACTTTCAGTGCTGGCTGCATAAAATGTTTGGAAGTGCCCTCCCTATTAAAAAAATATTTATCTCTGGATTGCCGAATACAAACTATTAAACAAGATTGTTTTTTTGTTTTTGGTCTATTTTTAGTTCAAAATGAAAGAGCAGTTGATTGTTTAAAGTCCTGCAAAAGGAAATCAGTGCTGAAAAATGTAGCAGAAAATGTCTGATTCTAATTTCAGAGGAAGGCGATATAAATCGAATACAGATGTGAAATATTGAGGAGGGGGAATGGAAAACAACTGAATGGTAATAAATCAGAATGTCGCATGCTCTACTGTTAATGCATATGATAATGTGAATCATATGCCAAGGCCTTTGTGTTCACCAGATAATAACAGATTGTACACAAGTGAGGCATAATGGCCCAAGATGTTGAGCTGCACTTTTCACGATCAGCATGTAAACACCACCGGAGGGAACCTGAGGACTTGTTCATCCCTTCGGTGGCGTTAGAAGGAAATGTAGATTTCATCCTGATTTGTTTTACATAAGCTGTTTTGCTTGGCCTGCCGTGACCCCTTGTAAGCACTGAAGCAGCTGTTGAGATGCAGAACGAACTCGGGATGCGCCCATACCACTTTTTGTTCTGATTTTTTCAAGCACTAGTACTTAAATTTGAGTACTCTATAGAGAGTACTGGTGCTTGATAACGACATTGTGTCGTGTAATTGGGATGAAAATGATTGTCACAAAAGACGAACTTGAACATGACATAAGTTTCACTCAAATCTAACTTTCGAATAACAACTTCTCATAACTGCCCTTTTCATTTCAAACGTGCATGTTTATGTTGTCAGTCTTGTTTGTATCCAATGTAGCCTTTTAACAAAATTCAATTCAAAAAAGTTTGTTCTTTTGTGTGAAAAGTGAAAAGCAAAAACCAACCACAATGTTTCCAGACTGTGTGACTTTTTGTCTACTTTTTCGTAGTTGGATCATTTCGGCCCAGTACGGATTTCTGCTCCTTTTGGATCACTCCCAATTCTGGGGAAAATAAGCCTGTCACTACCAATGTATAGTTTGAAAGTGCATGTTCGAGCAGGCTCTCTGTGTTTAAGATAATTATTTTGTTTGCTGTGCAAAGTAGTCATTTGCCACCCACTCAGGGCAGCATACCTCTGCTCTTAGTTTTAGACATTTTGAAATAGCTTACCTCCATGAGTTATCCCTGTACATGTACTGTATTTTCCGCGCTGTAAGGCGCACCTAAAAGTATTCAATTTTCTCAAAAGCCAACAGTGTGCCTTATAAGCCGATGCGCCTTCTACATATGGATCAATATTCTGATTTCTTGGACATATCTTAAATGTTCTGTAAAGCGCTTTGTTCCAGCGGCAGTGGTTGTGAAAGCTCTATATAAATGAAGCTGTATTTTATTGTACCTGTATTCCCTTTATAGGCCATTCATTGAAGGTGTGCCTTATAGTGCGGAAAATACGGTATTTGGTTGAACCGTCGTTTCCTGTTTGGCTTAAACATCAGATTTAGAATTTGGAGTCAGCATTAAGCCTCTATGTTGTGGTTTGCACGTAAGTTTAGCGCTTCATTTCAAGATTTGACATTTAAATGAGGATTTGAGTTTGAAATTGAGGTTCAAGCTTAAAGTTAGGCTTTCAAGTTAGAGTTTGGATTTCAATGTTGGACGAAGGTTTTAAGAGAGAGTGACCGCGTTTCTGTTGCCACGATTTTAGGCCTCGGAACCAGCCCAAACAGCTGCCAAAATAGGCCGTCCTCCCCGTGCAGCCATACATCCCAACACCCACAGGAGTTTGAGCACCAGTTCCACCTCCACCCAGCCAAAGGTCCACGGCGTGGAGCCAAAGGTCCACTACCCGGCTCAGCCCTCGCCTCAAGTGTCCCTTGTCTTGGAAGAAAGCGCGCCCCCTGGCCTAACCACCACGCTTGAACACATTATGGGTCAACTGGATATTCTCACGCAGGTAAGTGGACGTCGGGCTCGTCTTTCGTGGCATGCACCGCGCCACCCACTCATGCAGTCGAGAACAAAAGCTTCCTTTTACTTCTCAACTTGTAGGCCAGAAATGGTTTCAGCAGCATGGACACGAAAACGATTACATAACTCCTTCTATGGTGCTTGACACTGAATCCCACTGGTTGATGAATTACATTTCGTTCAGTTCAAGCACACATTAGCGCCCCAAAACATGTGTTCACTATATGGATTTGGTTCTAATCCTCCTTTTTTATTTTCATCTGCAATGCCTCTGTGTTGTTTTACCCATGTTTGATTCATGAATTATGGATCCTCAGATGATGTGAGGAGGTATTCGTAGAGCCCCATATTTGATATCTGAGTACTTTAGAAAGCTTTCTTCTTCTCACTGGGGCATTCCAATTATGAGTGAAAATGTTACCACGTTGCTCTGTCAAGATATCGCAAGACACTTCTAAAGAGACGGAATTCAGTGAAATGTGGTGTGAAAGTAAAGATAAAACAATTAGGTTGCAAGTGTGGCTATATTTCATATCATATTTGGTGGAGCTTGGGGTTGAAAGGGGAAGTGCCACAAATAGAGCATCAAATATGCAGACTATGAACAAATTCCGAGTTGGGTATTGTTGGATGAGCATATGTCGCAGAGGAATATTTGCAGTCAAACACATGGATGGTCATGTGTAGAAACCTGCACAGGATTCGGAAAAAAAAAAATGCAGCAGCTAGCTCAGCGAGGCAGGCTGCAGCACGCTTTGTCACCCCTTTCACATTTCACCACTAATACGTGATGCTTTCTTCAAGTCTGAAAACGGAACACCCAGAATGACAATGGGAATATATGACACGATGAGCAGTCACGGAATGCACTATGACCTTTTATGTCAACACGTCAACTCGAGAGGAGGGGTTTGGGCCTCAGTGGATGGCCTTCATCATGACAATTTCTTTTTACTATTTTACAATACAACAGCCAAACCAGCAAATAAGGCAAACGTGAGCATATTGTAACACCCATGCTATTAGGAAAGCGCAAATAACTGCCAATACATACTTTCTTGCTTCACCATTCAGCTCTTTATACCGCTCACAGTCGAGGAATCTGAGGGACGCGAATGAATTATTCAGCATACGACAGAAGCTTCCAAAGACGCACTTTGCTGTCGTAGCTGTTTTTCACTTGTCCACCCACCACTCCACCCAGTTGTGAGTTGTTTCTACCCCCTCCCCTCAGTACTGTATGTACAGCACTTTACCCTATGTATTTAACTGCTATGATTCACCCGAGACATAGACTTTTTCACTCACGCCGGATGATGGACGACATTCAAAAAGTGTTTTGAATGTCGTCCATCATTTGTTTTAATGAGCACTACAGGGAAGTTGGGCTTTGATTTCTCAAATCATGTTCCAATACATTCAAGAGATGTAACATGACAATAAACCTCTTTCTCTGATTACAGTGTCGGTTTTCCTGTTGTAGAAGGAGCCAGTCAAGCTATTAGTTTAAAGATCGACATCAGCCGCCCCCGATTTGTGTGTCTTTAGTCTGACAATTTCATCATACGTCATGTCATCGGTCTGAATTCTTCGCTAAACGTTGATGACTTAAAATAGTATTAGCGCTCACTCTATCAAAAATCATTTTTACTAAATCTACATTTTGAGTTATTAGTAAATACGAAAACCAGCCCCTATGTAAATTTCTTTCACATTGCTTTGTAAATACACTTTAGAAGCTGACCTACATGCTCTCCATGAGGCTTTTGAGCTTAATGTCCTTGAGCTACGCTAACATAAATGGTCAGCAGGGATGTCCAACTCTGTTCCTCGAACGTCTCTATCCAGCATGTTTTAGATGTCTCCCTCCTCCAACGTTGTTTTGGATCCTTATTTTTTTTTACATTCCTATTGAAGCAGTTCGGCATCAACACCAGTTTGTCTTTTGGGTCAGACATAGCGTGGGCCGTACCAAAGCGATGAGACTGTAACACAGGCCGGTAACGCTGAAGGCGATGGGACGTATCATGCATTCTAGAATGAAAAGAGAAACTGTGCTCGCTCCATTTTAGGGGCATAAAGATTTGGTTCCTACCCTAAATGAAAACCATGGAGCGGTATCATGTTGCTGCAGCCTGGGGGACGCGTGCACAATCGCACGCACACTCACACAAAAGTCAGTAAGGCTGAGGACTGACGGACCATATCAGGTTGGTAAGATAAACAGGGTATTATTGATCTAGAGAACAGAGACCAGGAGAAAGATATACACACATTTACCCTGCTTGCATGGATTGAATAACAGAAGATGCCTGGTCTGATGACTCAGAAAGAAAACTACCCTCACCCGCGCATACCCCACAGCTGAAGACCACGACTGCCAACAGCAGTTTCCTCATCATCATTTTTGGCGCGTTTGTTGTTTTTAAGCATGACACCCCATGACTTTTCACAGTCTACATGTCTACACATTTTCTCATGGAGTTCAACGTAACACGGTTTTATTGATCATCAGATGACAGACTTTATCACAAGGTTTTTCAGCTCTTCACGTTGTATTGTTGGGTAGAGACTTTATTTTTCCTCAAGGATTGAACGAGATTCTCCTAAAGGTGTAGTGGTGGTCATATACTGTACAGCCACACCTTAAAGTTTGACCACAATCCATTCTGCTCCATGGAGATCATTTATACGGTTGTTCCCTGAAGTACGACGATGTTCAAAGTTTGATTTGGTCGTCTTTCAAAACAGCATTTCGTGTTCAGAACAATGATAATTGTAATAATTGGTTCCCTTATGGCAGCCCGGTGGTGGTCCAGTGGTTAGCGCGTCGACCACACAGTGCAGAGGTACCGGGTTCAATCCCAGCTCCGGCCTCCCTGTGTGGAGTTTGCATGTTCTCCCTGGTGTGGGTTTTCTCCGGGTACTCCGGTTTCCTCCCACATTCCAAAAACATGCATCGCAGGCTGAGTGAACACTCAGCCTGTCCACTAGGTGTGAGTGTGAGCGCGGATGGTTGTTCGTCTCTGTGTGCCCTGCTATTGGCTGGCAACCGGTTCAGGGTGTCCCCCGCCTACTGCCCGAAGACAGCTGGGATAGGCTCCAGCACCCCCCGCGACCCTTGTGAGGATAAAGCGGATCGTAAAATGAATGAATGAATGGTTCCATTACGTGTCGTTGGTGGTGTAGTGGGTACACTCGTCTGACTTGTGTGCAAGGCAGTGTGGGATCGGTTCCCACTCAGTGACGGTGTGAATGGGGCTGTGTATGGTTGTTGTCTCTGTATGTAGCCTACGACTGACTCACTACTAGTTCAGGGCCGGAAGTCAGCTGGGATAGGCTCCAGCCACCCCTCTGACCCTGTTCTGGATAAACGGTGTTGAAAATGGATGGATGATCCCATTACTAAGTATCTACAATGACACCTGTATTTTCTATATTTTCACATACAATGTTTGAAATAATATTCTTAACCCTTTCATTCACCAATAATGATCATCAGTAACCTGATAACATAATAAACTGTCCGCTGTAGTAACCGCTGTCCCTAAAAGGGTTAAATGTCATACAAGGGTAACCACAAGTTACCTTGCGTACATTCTTCGACAACAAAACACTTTTAAACACTGTCTTAACCATAATGTTTAATGATGAGGACAAATAAACATCACTAATCTATTAATAGAATATTACAGAAACACAAAATCAACTCCGATTGGAATGTCAAAACATGGCAGGACTCTTCAGCCGTCTACTCTTTGGAATTCATTTATACTTTGATCAGCGTTCTGTGCTTATCTGTGCAAGAGAGCGCAGCAGTCCAGTGCCCTTTAGACTCGTCAGGAATTCTGATGTTCTGCCAACTGTGTCAAAATTTTTGATTTGTGCAGTTGGATTGAAGAACAAATAGGGTTAGTCCGTGAAGTGTCCAAGTTCATGTTTCCAGTTAAACCTGATACTCTCCAAACCTCAGTTCAGCCTTGCTTTTGGATTTTTTTTTTTCATCATTGGAGCATTACTCGGATCTAATTGCAAAATACAGGCTTCGTTGTCATTTTATTCCACAGAATGAGCAGTAAAAGAGATCTGAGGCCCCCACAAGTCTGACAATAGCCTCGTGGAAAAGCTCTGGTGAATATCAAACCCCTCCAAAAAAAAATCACTGAACAAGAAACTGATTATTATCAGGGCCCACGATATTCATTCAGTGTAGGACAGTTTCATAACACATAATTCCTTATGCTAACATGTTCCCTTTGCCTCGTGTGGCGTAAAAAAAATAAAAATTAATTTGTTCAGTAATGAGGGCAAGTCATTTTTTATCTAACATGTTACCTTAAATAATTCATTTCATAACCGTTTTCTAAGAACTAAATCAACAAAAGGATATTTAATGCTAGTATTTTAAGACTTGACCAAGAACATAATAACACCATTAACTGCTTTTAACAGATTCACCGCCGTCCATTATCAGAGCAGTTTCGCCATCTTGCCCGCCATTTTAGAGCCTTTCGACTGATCACTCAGCACCCAAAGAATATTGCGTTGCGTGACTATGTGAAAACTGCAATGGAAAGAGTCGACTCTCCTCCTTTAACGACAAAAAGTTGGTTTGCCACTTTTTTCCTGTCGTTGGCCATTCTTTAGTCGAACACAGGCTGGTTTCACCTAAAACAAGCGATCGGCAAAGCGGCAACTTTGATGCTAGTATTTATTTATTTATTTATTTTCGCTTTTGGGACACCTTAACTATGAAGCAACAAAAACAACACTAGGAAAGGGCTTTTGATGACAAAATATTAATTTTATTTACATATATACAGATGGAAAAGGGCCGCGAGTGACACTCACTCACCGCATGGTCCCAAGTTGAATTCAAGTGGCTTTTTTACATGCCGTTGGTCATTCTCTCCGTAAACTTTGCTTTTTTACTCCAGTCCGAACTATGACAGGACGCAATTTTTCCCCCCACCTTTGGGCGTGGGATGAGACAGGAGTGACAATACACTCCGATGCCAACCTCTACTCCAAAGAGACAATGTCTCCAAAAACCAGAGGAGTTTCCATTTTGTGAAGATTTTATGAAATACTTTTTCACAGCTAATCCTGCAAACAAGGTATTTTGTTTGAAGCATTAAACAAGGGAGTTTTGTCGACGTGTTCCTCGCTCACTGTATCCAAAGTCATGAGCTTCCTTGCCGCACCGTGTTTGTCACCAGGCAACACAAGGGAGACATTCACAATCATGTTACTGTTTTCAGCCTCCTTGAGATGATCTTTTTCTTTTTTTTTTTTCACAACTGTTGTCGTAAAAGTGCTGCCTGAATGATTTGTGATCATGATTACATCGCCTGGCTTTGCAATGGGACATCATTGTTTTCTTGTCTTGAATGTCTTCAGGCACTACTCAGAATTCAAATAACAAATCAATCAGTCAGGGGCAAAAACAAAGAAAATCAAATGAAACCAAAGCAAAATAACAGATATACACCCTTTTTGTTGCAGTCACAAATAATTGAATCACGCACCGGCCGAGCCTTGAACTTGCCAGACCACTGGCAGCAGCACCATGTACTTGGTTGATTAGAGAACGCCTGGACGCTTTCTAGTCTGTTTACTGTAGACCGTTACTTGCTGTGGAGTGAAAGCATTTGACAGGTGAAACAGAGATGTGCACAAGCCTTATATGCAAGCATGGTGGAACTCATCTCTTATCTTGACGCTCAGGCGTCCAGACAATTCTCAAAATATAGTGGAACCAGAACTGTATCCCTGCCTATTTGTGGTTCAGTGCACCCTTTCACCTATTCAAGACCTATTTGGTGAAAGACACCCAGTTGCGGTTTTTGTGCTCTTTCTGTAACCATCCACAAGATGGCACTAAAGCCTGAGCTAATAGGAAAGTAGTAATAGGTGTCAAGGAAGTATATTGAAGTGATATATCTCAACTGAGAGACAAACATCTTTGTATGTCGGTATAGCCGGAGGTTATGGAGAGTCTTTGCCGATTGTACATGCACACTACTGGCACATTATGTTTTTATTTTTTTATGAAATAATGTACAGGCCATTTATTATTTAGTAAGTCTTTGTGAGATGGGTTTGAAAATGATATTTTTATTCTTTTATTTATTATTTTCTCCGAACAGGTCTCAGTCTCTGGGTGTTTATTTTACATTAATTACCTTATTGAACTTTGTTTCGTGTCATTTTCTAGTTGTTAGCATCTGTTTTGCACCTTTGACCATTATTAATGTCTAAATGTCACTGGAACAAATAAGGATAAGTAAATGTCAATAGTTAATCAAGGATTTTGTGATACAATGGCAAATGACATTCTTTCCGATGGGAAGAATTATATTAAAATGAGAACAAGTTGAATTGTGTTTGTCTTTGGAGTTTCCAATGCCGTCTGCTGATGCTGCTGATTGCACTGATCCATATTGCATCTATTTTCGAGTGTCTTGTGGCGGGCAGAAGCAGACCTTTTCCAAGTAATATTGTTTCGCGCTCACGACGCCTCAAAAGTACACAAACTGCCTCATTCACACTCAGACAATTGCGGCCATTATTTGTCCATCACTGTCACGCTGGCGCTGCGCGTCCTAACGTGCCTCTTCTCTCCATCTCCTTCCTTCCCTTTTTGTCTCGCTTCCAATCATCATCCTCCTCCTCTTTGTCCTTCCAGACGGTGTCCATCTTGGAACAGCGGCTGACGCTGACAGAAGACAAGCTGAAGGAGTGTTTACAGAACCAGGTGGCGTCTCACGCGCAAACCTTTCCAGACGAGGCGAGCTGGACGTCGGCCGCCCCGTACTGAGCCTCGGCGTTTGCCGATCCAACTCGTCCTCGCGGAGACGCTTGAGACGCGGCAGAGACAAATGTTGCAGAGGTGGTTGCTTGCAACAGTGCTGAGAGAGCGTCTCTTTTCTGCTGATGAAGCGTGTTTGCAGTAGGCGACATTTTCCCACTTGCCTGTGCGCGGCACGTCTGTCTTTTAGCTGTGTGTTTTGGGCAAACTTGCACAGAATGGCAAATGCAAGCTGCACTTAATCATCGAAACGCAAACATCAAAGTTGCTGCTTCATTCACTTAAAAAAAAAATAGTGGTGGTCTCATCTCGTCTTTCAAAAGTAACCTATTATAGGAAGACCGATTCTGTGTCACTCCACATCGTTGGGTGCTTATGTCCCAGGGCGCTACGCCATTTATTAGTCCCGTATGGCATTTCGCCATCAAAGTTGCATTCTTTTCAGAATTTGAAAGTTTTCAGGTTTTTTAATACAATGTCTGTGACCTACTTTTGTCAACCCCAACCCTGGTCCTGTCTGACTTTAGGCCTACACCCCGTCCTATATCCTGAAGGCTCATGGCGAGTCCAGATTTTGTTTCCGTGACAACTTACGAGAGCAGACTCCCATAAAGACAACTCATTATTTTTTATTCGGAGAGGTAGCCTTTCATACACTACACTGTGTGTGTGCAACTAATGGTACTGCATATGAGCCATTGATCCCAAACATATTTTGTTGGCTCATATGAAATAGTTTTGTATGTCTTCTTTAAGTGAAAGTTAATCTTGAGGTGCTTTTTGTATATGTGTATTTGCTGTCTATACTTTGAAGACATCGTGGATTTTACTGTTGTCGGCAACCATCTTGTTTTTTTTTTTTTGTTTTGTTTTGGGGTTTTTTTGTTTTGTTTTTAAATTCCCTCTCCTTAGTTGAAATTAAAGAGACTCCAGATGCTCTTTCATAACTCCTTCAAGTTCATTTGTTGCCATTGTTTTAGCCAGAGCAATGATGTCATCAGCAGTTACGCTTTCAAGGGGACCGTTTCCTCCAGCGACCGGTCCCCCCAGGGCCAAAGCGGTTATCCGACACATCGTGACTTTCCTTTGTTTTGTTGTCTTTAGCAGAGATGTGGACAGCGTGAGTCGTGAGTTTTGTCATCCCAAGCGCCTGGTGAGTCACTTTCACCTCCTCCTTTGCCAGATTTTTGGAGCCGCCGTGCATTAGGCCAGTCTTCCGCCAAGTGGTACGCTACAGCCCGCCATGTTCGGTTTCCCTTGGGGCGCGGTGTGTAGGCAATGTAATACATCATTCAGGGACACTATGCGCATCACTTGTTATCAAACTTAACAGCGAAGTCAACCTAAAAAATTTTCTTCACAGTATTATGTTCTATCTGCCCCCACTCGTCCACGCACAGTATTCTGATCAAGGTTTTGTTTGTGGAATATGGATTAAGCAGCAAAAGCAGGCCATTTTAAGTCCAATTTGCCACTTGCTGTCAACTGAAAATGACATCACAGTTGCTCAGAGCTCAGGTAACAACCAATCACGGCTCAGCTTGCAAAGGTCACATGACCAAACTCAGAAAACAAGTGAGCTCAGATTTATCACTACAGGAATACCAGCTTTTCTCGGATATTGATTTTTAACCACCAAAAAAATATGCGGGCACGGTGAGATTCGGGTCAGTTCCTCATTGGCTGTTTGTGCATATCACGTCGCAACGTCAAAAAGGTTTTAACATTTACAATTGGCCGCTCGAAGTTTTCCAAGCAGATTGGGATGAAAACTCACTCCAGACACACTCAACACCACATGATAATCAGTTAGGTTAATCTTTTAGAGACATCCAATCAGGCCTTTGTTGACTTTGAACCGAAAAGGGAAAGTTTTCAAATTTGGCCCGATCATGGGCATGCGTATACAGCCACCCTCTTTAGGAACCGCACTGTGATTGGTAGCCTAAGATAAGGTTGTCAAAAAGTAATTTTATAATGTTAATAGAAACACCACAAAATTTGTAGAGGGGAAACCGAAAAAACCCAAAGCCTTTGTTTCATTCCGCAATTATAAGCACAACCGGACTGCTTTTGTTCAAATCAGCACTTTTATTTTTAGTAGCCTCACTGGAAATGATCTTGAGGTTACACTCACAGCCACGAACAGTAATTTTATTTTTCTTTTTAAACTCATGGAACAAATGACTTTACGCAGAACACGGTGGTCCGGGTCCCAGGTCAGTCCTGAGAGCGATGTGTGGCGTCACGAGAGGAAGCGGGGGAACATATTAATGACTGACTTCTTTTAAAAGAAGCCAGCGCGGCCTCTGTCGCACCCGTGGAAAAAGAAGTAAAACACAACCTGAGTTCCCGAGTTGTGCTGCAGGGCCCACTCTCTTCCTTCCTGTCTGGGGCATTCTCAGACACACACAGAAAAACACGTCTCCCTTCAGTAACTATGGGCCTCAAGCAGATGGCCTGCCAGGAGCTCTTGTAGAGGAGGGGATTCAGCCGTTTCTAGGTGCATGGCCTGTATTCATGAACTGTCAGAGCAACAATTCTCAGCAAATTTACCGTATTGTATGTCCTGCTAATCCAGTACTGTAATTTTTTAATAGGAACTGCTGTCTATTACATGTCAGTCATTTTGTTTTGTTTTATTTGTTAGGATCCCCCATTAGTTGTTCCCTTAGGCACTGCTTGTCTTCCTGGAGTTCTCTTATGAAAACAATACATGAATTTTTAAACATTCATTTCGGGAGGGGGGGGAGAAAATCCAAAAACAATATACATTTAAAAAAAAACATTTGGAGGAAAAAAGCAACATGTATTAAACCCTATAATCCATTGTAACATCATTTTATGAACGACATTAAGAGTTGAAGATGCTGCAGTTACTTTCCCAGATGTTTTTTTTATTTGACTTTTGAATCGTGATTTCTGTGTCAGTTTGGACATTGACAGTGGTAAAGTATTCCATGCTACCTACCACATTGTTGTCGCTACAACCTGTTGACACTGACACAGCTCATCTCCACTCAAGTACATATGATCTATACGAGATGATGCATTGGAACCCTTCTTGTTGGTTTTTAACCCTTTCATGCGCCCTGTAACCTGATAACATGATAAGCTCCCATATACATTCCTGTCCTTTCTGTATAGATTATACCCTTGGATGCACGATGCTTCTTCAAATGTCTCATCCACATGGTTTTCAGATCATTTTTATTAATTGTGTTTGAAAACAACCGACCATATACATTATTTTATTCCTCAGACTACATATATTTGGGTGAGCAATGTTTTCAGCTTTTCTTTGGAAGTAAAGTTGCTCGAGTCACGGAATGTACAAAAATCTACAAAACACAAAGCTCTTCTAAAAGATCCAAGGGGTCACCTCCGAGTCCCTGTAGAGTTGTCCATTTATGTCCAGCCTGTCGACCGTCAATGGCACTTTATGTTTCAGGCCATAGTTTTCTCTCATTATTGGTCTCGGCTTTTTCCTCCTGCCATTGATCTCTGCTGGAAAGTGGTCATTTAGCCAAAATGAGGACCCTTTCAGCTCCTTACTTTGGCTCTTCACCAACTCTTTCTGCTTGTAATGCTCATAACGAGCTATTATTGGCCTTGTTTTCCCATCCACAGATCTGCCCAGATTGTGAACCCTGAAGAAGGTTATGTCTCTCACCACCTTTGAGTGCATTTTTAGGTTTTCGGTCATAAAGTGTCTGACAAGTATCTTCAGAGTTGCCATTATCCTCTCAAATGTCAGATTGTTTCTCATCACTCTGCATTGTATATCCAATAAGGTTCTTTAATTTGCTTGTTGTCTAAGATGATAGAAGCAGCTGATTTTTTGCACTACCTTCCACCACACCCTTCAGGAAGGCATTTTCCTTTGACAGCTCTTCAATCTGCTTTGGGCTAAACTCTAGGCTGTTTTTTTTTTTTAACTCACAGATATATTCTCCTTGTGAGTCAAGCATGTCCAACTTGCTTCTCTTTGTATTGATTGATTCCAGCACAGATGCATCCACCTCCATGACACCACCCGGCTCGCTCATACTCTCCGACCAAGGTTGTTGGGATCTGGGATTTTTCTTGGCACAGGTTTATCAGCAGCCTTTTCAGCTCACACTTTGTCAGTACCCTTGGGCATCCTTCAGTAGGTTAGAGAGCTTGGGCAGTGTAGACCTCAGACAGGCCCTGGCTTGAGCAGGAGTGACCTCAAATAGGCCCCAAACTGAATCCTCCAAATATCACCTCCAGCAGTTGTGAATCCACAGCCTCTTGTTGCCCGAGTTCACTCAACCACTAATATCAATATATTGAAGTATTTATTGACCAGAAGTATATAAAAACGGTGGGTATATTGCTAAACAACCAGTAATGACAACATAGCACTTTCTGATCTGTTGGGGGCATGGCCTTGCTCTATTTTAATGATGATAATGATGGCGATGGGGATGTCGGTGATTTCCTGAGATGTATAGGTGGACCAAATGTCTGCAGAAGTAAAACGAGTCTTGAGAGTGGGCCTCTGGAATATGTGGGCCATATGTGGCCGACAAGCAAATGTGTGTGTGTGTGTGCGTGTGTGTGTGTGTGTGTGTGTGTGTGTGTGTGTTGTGTGTGTGTGGGAGGGGGGTTTAGTGAGTCTATGAGGAGAACATCTGGATATGTTTTTCCTTGTAAGCTGTGGTTGCCGCCACTGCTCGTGTGTGTGCGCGTGTGTGAGAGTGCGAATGAGAATGTGAGTGTTTTCCTGGTTCAGTGTGTCAGGGCTTTGTCCTCTCTCCATCTTGTTGTTCAATAAACTACCATCGTTGAGGACATTAGAGACAATTCGCCAGTCCCTCTCAGTTCCCTCTGTGCTGCAGGTACAATTTGAAATAATGCGGAGGAAAAACAAAACGATTTTTCCCAAGCACATCAATAGCTGAAGTGTATTTTTAGACATTCGAGTTCTAGTAGCCACTTATAATTTGTCGCTTAGGCCAAAACACAGAATTTGCAGCTGTATTTTCTTTTTCTTTTTTTTTCTTTTTTCTTTTGGTTGGTTGGATGGGAAAAAGAGAGTGAAGCAAGTTCATGGTTTCACAGGACTGTGCTCCAAGTTAATTGCAATGAGTGCCAGTGCTAAATTGTTGTCAAAATGCCTTTTGATATAATTTTTCAAAACATTTGCTACATACAGGTAGTGCAAAAACAAAAGTGAAACTAAACACCATCAGTACTGGGCCACTAATGGGGGTTCATCAAAAACTGAACAACAAAAACACATGCATAAATATATTTTTACAAATAGTGTTTTGTAAGAGTGTTTTAAAAAAATGACCTTCCTTCTGTTTTATAGTATAAATCAAACCTGGTGGAAAACAAAACGGGGAATTTTTCAAGCAAATGGGAACTGTTAACAATGGAAGCCAATTCCCAGCATTAATAAAAGTCATACCAAGTGTATTTTTTACACTTGTGTTGCTTTTGTGTAGACACAGGTTTTCGGCCATGGAATAGAAAAAAAAATCTACAGTGGTTGAAAAAAAAATACTACTAATAATTATGATTTAATAATAAGCTTTCAAAATTAACCAACTTAAAAAAAAAAAAAAAGCTCACATTGCCTTACCATTGCGAGGCTTTTGAGCTTTTTTTAAAATGATTCCTGCACTCGCCTTGTCCAACACACGCAGTTACAAAGCAACGTGACCGTTTTCAAAAGAATAAAATATGTAACGTACTTACCATTGAGGAATGATAAATGAAGAAATCCAAACGTCAAAAGTGTCGACCTCAGCACGGTACGGTGTGTAGCCGAATGAACAGCATGTCGACGCCTGTCATGGCCACCAGTCATACTTGATTGGTTAATTTTTGACCCAACAAA